ATGATTCAACTCTATAGTTTAGTATATTATAGTGTAATTTTTTCAATTCAATCAGTGTAAATTTTCAATGCAAGCACATTGAAACTTACTCTATTTATTTCTCTAAATATATTGAATGAACACAAAAATAGAGTTGGAAGAAACAATTTTGAGAGTGAACATTCCACTCAAGACCCAAGCTAGTGTCAATATCATCACTTTAGAGTGAAATTCAATAACCGAATATTACATAGTCACAAAGGTTGAGAGTTGGGAATATAATAGTACAGAGTAGATATCACACTATGAACAGTGTCGGATCCACCGGAAATTGATTGTATTAATTACACTACGTGTATGTCAAATGGCTCCTGCATTCTTCAACTTGACACTACCATATGTTGAGGTGCTAATAAAGAGTTATCATTTATTCATCATTCAAGATTGATATAAGACACTCACTAGTTGAGTGAACTAGTTACTACTTACTGTTGAGATTTCATCTAAGTTAGATTAACCATTCTTTCACATGTCACAGTATTTATATAGGACTCAGTGGCGCGAATTGACGGATGAGAAGTAGTGTGACTTTATAATATTTTAATTGTTTGATATTTGAAAAATGACTCGCGTCCCACTAGACTACTTAGTTAACCAATCTGTTTCATGAATCGTTCGAAATAATAATTTGAAACGGAAAATAACTGAGATAGATATACGGAAATACGTTGATAACTGCTCAATGTTGAAAAAAATCTCTCACTGCGTGGGTATAGTAAAAAAGCTACTTGAAGCTAATATCATGATCATCATATCATCGACACTATAATCAGTATTACTCATTCCACTATCCAGTAGACTGAATGATCGGAAACTGTATATATTGACATTTCATCGTATATAGATTGAATTGAACAATGATAGTGTCAATTTAATCGACACGAGTGGAACATTCAAGTTCACCAGTGTCAGTTAACACTAGTATGAATTAAATTTCAATTGTTAGTGAATTGAGGTATCTGAATTGCTGTTTTATTAAAATTTTAGGAATATAGAGTGAGTTCAATACGACATTAGTGAAAATTCAATCTAGAATTATCTTCAATAGAGATAATCTGCGAGAAGTGTAGTTATAGAGTTTATTGCACAGTAGCTCGAAGCGATTTTATACTGTGTATAAGTACTATGAAAACTAGTAAGATAAATCTCTTGTATTTCACAAGCACTGAGCTGTGATTACCTACATAGAATTTAGAAAAACGATGTTAGAATATCACTCAATTATACTGTCATTGAAAATCTATTAAGCAAAAATTTATAATTGAATAATAAAATAGTAGGGGCAAGACTAACAAAAGCACTACTATATGGCGCACAAAATTGGTTATACCAATGGATGACAATATAGAGAAAGCATTTTGTTAATATCACTCCATTATGTAAATTAAACTACAAATGACTTTGCTTAAAACCATGATGCTTGATGATACATTATTACGTAGTTCACGCAATATCCAGTTTTAACAATAAGCTACCAAATCATAATTCCAACTCTCACTTTCCGTTAATTCACTGCACGGTGATAATTGCTCCCTGTTTGTACATACAAGATATGCACAAGGTCTTTTCTTCTAGAACATTCTATATACGTGGAATCAACAACCGTATTGTTGGGGTCATGAATGAAAAAAACCCAGGGATATCCCAGAGAAAGTTCCAAAAGTTAATGGGTTTGGTTGGTGCGTTATTTCACTGAATTACAGACGAACGATTTACAGGGTGTCCCAACGAAAACGAAAAAGACTGAATAAATCTCATGATACAGACAAATGGTAGGTTCACGTTGCGATAAATCTAGTGGTCGGCATTATAGTCGTTCCCTATATATTTCAGGTTGCTTAATCTGAATCTGGAATCATTCAACAAAATTTCCTGGTTCCTTTTGAGATATACGCAAAAAACAGCGAGATGTTCACATTTTTTTAGCTTTCTGTTTATAATTACAGAAAAATATTTGTGGTATCGAAGAAATGACACATACTTCATTTGAAGGAGATTGGAATTGCTATAATTTAAGCCTAACCGTAGCACCGTAGGTTTAATAATGGTACCAAGATGAAGTACTTCAAATATGAGCCAATTTTCCAAAGAATCAAAATGAAGTTTTGAGTTAACTTTGGGGCTGAATATTGGGATTTATCTTACGAGGAAAATTGATTGTAGTCGAGTTATAGTGAATCTTTTCAGATATAACTCACTTCCAGAGCGAAACATGGAGATCAAATGGCTGATGACTCACAATTTTCAGAAACAAAAAAATTTGAAAATTTAATTTAGTAAGATTCCATCTGAACCATTCCCATAAATTGAAAACTTCGCGATTCTTCCAACAATTCACTCCAATTGTGTTTAATGATGGGCGAGTGGACTGATAATGAATGATTATTATACAGTTTTTATGCTGTTTCGTTATTAGTCAGTTAATCTTTCATTTCCACTCATGAAGCAAGGTTGTCAAGTCAACAATTATGATCAAGTTACTCAACAAAAAGACGTCAGAGTGATGTCGTTGAATGAAACATAATAGGAGGAACCCATTATATTTCAGTTCATTCTTGACTTTTTCGAACAACCAGCATGTCCAAATATTTCTTATTCTCAATAACAAAATATCATGTGGATGTTGGAGACTTGGCAACATTGTGCTGAATGCTGAGAACTGACAAGACCACGCCCAGGAGTCGTGCGCCGTGATTGTCACGTTAACCGATTCAAATGTCGTCTAATATGAATTGATATAATTATTCTTTATTCAAATTTATTGTAAGCAATAAGCCACAAATCATAAGGGAACATTCTGAGACAATTGAATTTTTATTGCTAATTGGGAGTATTACCAATACTCAATTGGGAGTTTATGAATTATCGAATAACTAATATTTATGATGTTCCTAACCGTATTTCAACACATGGTAACTGTAATATGGCCTGCCCCTACTTACGTAATCGTGACGTCAGTTTTTACTGGCTGGTAATTTCTGGCCGTTTGAAAATAAAAAAAATCTGGAAATATATAAAATTGAAAGGTATTCGAGTGATGATTCTATTTTGTGAGATTATAATCATCACTGATGATTTAGATATCCCAGCATTTTCGTTGAATTCATCAATGAACTTCCTGGCAAACGAACGCAACAAAACTAGCATGATTTTATTGATAAAGTCCTAATTACCCGAGGCCAAAATTGTGTGATATCAAGCGGAGGGAATGCTGACAGACTGATTGTTACCACAGCAGAATCATTTCATCACATTTCAGTGACTGTTGTATGGAAGGCTGTTGATCTCCTTGTACTGTTGATATGCTCATTAGCATCAGCGAATGTCTACCTACTCAAACCAGGAAGAGAAAGAACTCTTTCTAAGTGGTTTCATACAATCACAGCATCGAATGAAAGACTGTCTCAACCCATCCTCTTTTGCACGGTGTAAGTGGCTGTGATACAAAATACGCCTTTTTCAACCAAAGAAAAGGTGAAAACTTTGAGAACTTTGGATAAAAACTTCGACCTCAGCCTTCCTTTGCTGTCTTTCAAACTTGATTACAAAAACATTGATGTCGAGACTATATCCACAGCTGGTGTAATTTACAGTGGAAACAAGCAAGTTCCCCTAGATGAGCTGCGGTAAAAATTTTCTAAGTCTGAAACTCATAAATCCTCTTTAAATATGGTCACTCTCGCCCCACCGACATTTTCTGCACGTTTATGTACAAGTGTATCTATGGATGGATCGACCAGTTTGATGTAAAGAGCCACAAAAGTTTGGATTGAGGCAAATGAGCTACCGTCTGCAGCCCATTATGTGCCATTATTTCCGAACAGCTCCCAGCACCTGACAAGCTACTTCAACTTTCAACTGAAAGAACAAAACAATGTGCGCAACGGCGATGTGCGGATGCAAGAAGACTAGGGTGCATTGCTCTAATATGTGTGAACCATGTGAAGCATCCTGCATTATGTTCATCACTATCATCTCGAAGGAGAAGAAGATCTAGACGACAGATATCAGCCACAAGTTCAAGTATAATTCAATTATCTATGTAACAATTGCACCTGTAATCAACCCTTCAAATTCGATCATTTCACACTTTCCTTGGTACTTTTTTCTTGCAGATATTCCAGAGGTGGAACCTCAATCATCACGGTCTTTTGGTATACAGGATCCTTCATTCATTCATTTTTTAAACCACGAAGTTTTCAAGCCATGAAGAGGTTCCAGATAAAAAAATTCAATGTTCAGATTTTTTAGTTGTTGCCTAATCATGAGTCAACTTTTCGATGTAAATTGAAGCTGGAAAGATCTGCTGCAACTTCACCCCTGTCAATTTTCCTCGTAGGATCAGTATTTTTTTCTAAATTCCTCAAAAGTTTATTCAAAACTTAAATTTTCATCTAAGTTTCGATTCATTTTTCCACTTCCACACATTCTTTTTGGTATTATAGGCGAAACAACGGGAAGAGTTTAACAATTTCTCTCTTTTTATCGAATATCTCAAAAGGCCTCAGGAAATTTTATTGGATAATTATCCCTGATTCCTATTCAGCAACCCGAAAAACATAGGAAAAGATGATACAACCGACAACTGGGTTTCTTGCTAGGAGAGGGCGTATATTGATAGCGGTTGCATCGATTACTAGGAAAATGTTTGTTCAAGAAAACGCCAAACAAGTAGATTTTGAATCCTTGGGGGACAACTGCCCCATATCATTCGCCTCTCCTCCACTCCGCTGCCAAGTAAGACAGAATAGAAAAGGTAATTCGATGAAAAAGAGAACGGTAATATGTAGATTAAGCTCTTCTCAATTAGCTCTATTTTTAATCAAAATAATTACCCTGTATATTTCATGATTATTAGTTTCAAATCAGCCCTGTTTCAACTTCGTTATGAGGAAGTGTTATCAACCTCAACAATTGTTCTCAATCAATAGTTCTGTAGCATATCTGAAAAAAATTAAACAAGGTATAAAATATGAGATTGTATTTAATGAATTGATATGTGATATCCATGAATTATTATCAATCAGGCTTCCTCGATAGTATCATAATCCGTCGAATCCATAGCCACCTCCTCGTAATCCTTCTCCAGCGTAGCCAAATTCTCCCTGGCCTCTCCAAACTCCCCCTCCTCCATCCCCTCCCCAATATACCAGTGCACGAAGGCCCTCTTCGCAAACATCAAATCGAACTTCTTGTTCAGCTTCCTCCACGCAGACTCGATAGCAGTCGTGTTCGACAGCATGCAAACAGCCCTTTGAACACCAGCCAAATCGCCCCCCTCCACCACAGTGGGCGGCTGGTAGTTTATCCCCACCTTGAACCCTGTGGGACACCAATCCACGAACCTCACGTCGCTCTTTGCCTTCATCTGAGCTATGGAAACGTTTACGTCCTTGGGCACCACGTCACCTCTGTACAGCAGACAGCAGGCCATGTATTTCCCTTCCCTCGGGTCACACTTGACCATTTGGTTGGTGGGTTCGAATAGTTCCGCTGTGATCTCTGCCACGGACATTCCCTCGTGGTAGGCTTTCTCCGAAGAAACTACAGGGGCATAGGAAGCCAAAGGGAAGTGGATCCGCGGGTAAGGCACCAGGTTGGTTTGGAACTCAGTGAGGTCGACGTTGAGAGCACCATCGAACCTCAAGGAAGCAGTGATGGATGATACTACCTGGCTTATCAGCCTGTTGAGGTTGATGTAGTCAGGTCGCTCGATGCCTAGCTTGCGCCTGCAGATGTCGTAGATAGCTTCGTTGTCCACCATAAAGGCGCAGTCGGAGTGGCTGAGAGTGGTGTGCGTGGTCAGGATGGAGTTGTAGGGTTCCACGACTGCTGTGCAGACCTGGGGCGCGGGGTAAACCACGAACTCCAGCTTGCTCTTCTTACCAAAGTCTTGGGAGAGCTTTTCCATCAGGAGGGAGGAGAAGCCAGAGCCTGTGCCTCCGCCGAAGGAGTGGAAGACGAAGAAGCCTTGCAGGCCATGGCAGTTCTCGGCTAGTTTGTTGAGCCTCTCCATGACGATGTCGAGCATTTCTTTGCCTATGCTGTAGTGGCCTCTGGCGTAGTTATTAGCTGCGTCTTCTTTGCCGGTTATAAGTTGCTCGGGGTGGTAGAGCTTCTTGTAGTGGCCTGTCCTCACTTCGTCTACTACTGTGGGCTCTAGGTCGACCATGATGGCTCTGGGTACCAGTTTGCCGCTCTCCATTTCGGAGAAGAAGGTTCCGAAGCAATTGTCGGAGGCTACTTCTTTTGTCATGCTTATTGTTCCGTCAGCTTGGATGCCGTGTTCCAGGCAGTAGAGTTCCCATGTCGAGTTGCCGATTTGAACTCCGGCTTGGCCGATGTGAACTGATATGCACTCTCTCATTTTGCTGTGTTTTACTGGAATTTGAATCTGAATTTCGAACTACGACACGAAAATTTTCGACTTTGGCGTAAAACGGAAATTTCGAGAATAATTCGGAATTGTGTCAGTTTGACATTAGTGATTTGGTGATAGACTACTATGTTAAACTTCCTTTTATTTTCACGTGTATTTACAAGGTGCCTCAAAATAATTGCTCATCTGACATCCTTTCTCTCCTGAAGGAATCGAAATCGAATTTCAAATATAGTTAGGATGATTCCAGATAATCGGCACACACACACACACAGGGTGTAAAGTAGAACCAATACATTGCGGTCAATTTTGATGATGTCTGGCCTCGAAAAAATATTTATGATGACAAGTCAGTCACAGTTGGATACATTGAGACGTTATGAGTCCATTTATGCATAGTTCTCTTCAAAACTTCGTGAACAGTGGTGATGGGAAAGTATTGTTTTCATGTAACTTGGGAGTTAAAAAAAAAAAAGGTATGGAGGAGCTGTAGTTATAGATATAGGGTGAATTTTTTGACCTGTTTCTTGTTGTCAGTGATTTTTATCAATATGAGTGATAAGACGAATTGATGGCAATTGCCCCGTATGGATATTACACATTTATGATTGCCGTTGTTGTTGTTATTGTTGCTGTTTTTTCATTATCTCTTTTGAATTCCTCAATGTGCTGTATTGAATATCTGTTATTCAGATGGGTGAATGATTTCTATTTAAAAATCTCAAAATTCCGACGTAATTATATTGATCAGGTCCTTGTTATTATGAACTATCTTACTATAGAATATGATTAATGCGATGTCACTTCTGATTCGGCCGATTATACTAGACATGATCTCAACATTGTTTTTATTTGAATTCTAAGGACAATTCGGAATAATAACATTTCAAATCATTTTTCTCCATCAGAATACATTCGTTTTTGGGTTATATTTGATTGCTAGGAAAAAAATCCGAAGTGAATAACTCAGGAGAAGTTTATTCGCGGTATAAATTGATGTCAACGGGGTGTTTGGTATTTCTGTTGACTTTTTTTCTCAAATGTCAATTAATTTCTGATTTCTAACGGACCATCATTCAATTCACCTGGCAATTAATATATATTCGTATTATCAATCAAATATGGAATCTGAATCATTCCAAAGCACACTCGTAGTAATACATATGAGTCAAATAATCATTATTTCCAGATTTTTTGTGATATTTGTCCATAATTGATCATTATATTTATGAGATATTGTCGATTATATAAATAAAAAATTACATCTTGGTGGTTATCTGGTCGTTCCATTCGAAACCGGAAGTTATTGGCATTCAAAATATGGCAAGTAAATAATCGGAAATACCAAGCACCCTATATTTTACAGTTTGGAATACTATATTGAGATATATACTGATTGAATACTCCTTTGTCAACGTGTATACAAAGAATGAACTTTCTATGATTACAATAATTGGTGATAAATAAATTCCAGATATTCATTCAATCTATGAAAATGTCAAAATTTCGTCGCACCCCAAAATTTTGTTCCTGTTAAATAATGAATAATTTTTTCTCCTTCGAACAATTTGAATTCGGATCACTGCACTATTCACTATTCCAGTCTTTCAGCTATAATGTCGTACTTCTTCAAAACATGAGGTTCTTCATATCAAATCGCTACAGGGTGTTATCTGAAACTGTGAAAAACTTTGGAATTTTCAAAATGAACAGACACTATATATATTTCTTTAACTCTGACAGCAGAGGCATGAAAATGATCTCATTACCTAGGAAAAAATTTCGAATTGTCTTCTTTATCTCTTTTGATCTCAAAAAATTAACTTTTTGGTTTTGCAGTCATAACTTTTTTTCTTGTCAACACATTTCCAAAATATCATTTTGAAGCTAAAACTTCAGATGAAGAGATATGAAGATCAGAATTGACTCAAGATGAACATTATACAGTGTGTTTCACTTCTAATGAAAACACCTCTGTATGTATCGTAATTGTTGAGTTAGGATTCTGAAATTTACAGGAGCAGGAGATATACTGAGAATAAACACTATGACCAAGTGGAGTCACCTCCAGTGATAAACACTGCCTGACAACAGCAATGGAACCGCTCACATTTCCGGAACATTATTATTAGGAGCCAAGATAGGTTGAAAATCACTTCGGATTCGCGATCTGAACGTCTAATTCACTAACTATTCATATGTTTCCTGGATTATTTTCAGTTCAGAATGATTGAATTTCGTCTCACTTCTCATGGAAGCACCCCCGTATCCCACGTAATTATTGAGGTAGGGTTCTAAAATTTGCAGGAGGAAGGGAAAGTCCAGAGATAAAGTGAATTGATAGATACGGGGGTGCTACTATTTTTTTTATCGCTTGGAGCGCACGAAATGAAATCCCTATAATGTTCATAGAACATCGTGCGTTCCTAAGGAGGATAGGGACAGGAGGTAGGTATTTGAATTTTTTTGAACTTCTGGAGATAATATATGTTGTTGGGAATACTTCCTCAGGCAATGAATTCTAGAGCCTAGCCGTTCTATGGATGGAGGAGTTTTGATAAAGTGCTGTTAGACATCTTTCGAGGTTGACAACGGAAGGATGTGCTGACTGGGCTTGTCTAGTTCGTCTGACTGGTATTGCTAGTGAAGGGATGATAGCAGAGGTTTCCGAAGAACATTTCCCGTGCAAGTATCGATAGAAAAGTGGAAGGTCGCCGACCTTTTTATGATAAGTGAGACAAAATTTCATTCTTCAGAATTGAAAATCTCATGAGGAAAATATGGAAAGTTGGTCAATATGGGCGTCCTGATTTTGAATCCGAAGTGATTTTCAACCTGTCCTGCCTCCTAATATCATTTTCCAGAAATGTGGATGGTTTCATGGCTGTTGGCAAGCAGTGTTTATCACTGGAGATGACTCCCATTGATCATAGTATGTATTTTCAGTATATCTGCCGCTCCTGCGAATTTCAGAATCCTATCTCAAAAATAACGAGAGATATAGGGGTGCTTCCATTAAAATGTTCATTTTGAGCATGAGATTTCAAAAATCGGTTGGCGATGAAAAAAGTTATGACTGCAAAATCAAATAGATAATTTTTTTAGATCACTCAGTAAACAATAGAGATAAGAAGACAATTGGAAAACTGTCCCGATTCAATGAGATCATCTACATGCCTCCGCTGTCAAAGTTGATAAAAAAGTTTTTCTTCGTGTGGGATCCTTGTTCCTTGTTCCTTGTTCTATCCGTCATTCGGTTGCCCCCTTACGAGCAACCCTCAGAAGTCTTCGAGAGTCTTGTGCGAGCAAGGAATGACGGGGGCCTTACCTTTTAACGTGTGATCCCAAACACTTTCTTGGGCCATCAGAAAAATTTCTGCAGTCGACGGGACTCGAACCCACGACCGGCAAGCGAATGCGGATTAGAATATAGACACTCTGTCCGCACGGCTACCTGGCCCCTGATGCTTTTGAAATTTCCGAAATTTTGCATAGTTTCAGGTAACACCTTGTAGCGATTTTATGTGAGGAACCTTATGTTTTAAAGAATCACGAGAATATATCTGAAGGACTGGGCTAGCAAACAGTGTGATCTGAATTCAAATTGTTCAAAGCAGAAAAAAGTCATTCACAATTCAACATAGGCAAAATTTTGGGGAGCGACGAAATTAGTGTTTAGTTTATCTCAAAAAACGACTTATAGTAGCCAAACGCTTCGAATTACAATAGCTTCAGAATTTTGAATATAATTCGAGAAATCAATAATATAACTGCGATCTTTTCTTGAAAAAACAGACAATGGGGTGAGCCATAAATAATAGCGTAATGAAAATACTTCTGTAGAGATAAATGTCAGGTTGATGTCTCTTCAATTCCTCTATAAACTGCTCAAAAATCAGTACGATGGATCACCCTGCAGTATTTTATAGTATAATTAAATAATTTTCATATCACAGTGGTGCAATTTCATGACGTAATAGTGACGTAGAATTCTAGAGATCCTGATAACGTCCCTACAAAATCCATACATTCCTACACCTACTACCTGGTGAGATTTATTTATTTATTTATTTATTTATTTACAATTTTGGCAGCCCAAACAGAAAAAATTAATTTTCCGATTGAAGGGCAGCACAATATCCAAAATTAAATATTTCGATATAATTCACAAAAATGTTATGATATTGAAAATATAAAAAATATAAGTATATGTCTATCAATAGAAATGTTGAAATCTTCACAATTTGAATAGAGAGAGAAAAAAAAAAAAAAGAAGTTTTCATTTGAAAATTCAAAATTTTATCCTAACAAGAGAAACACATATTTTTTCATATTATATCTAACTTATATTAGATAATAATAATATCAACTCATTATAGTTCTGAGAGTATTGGAACAAAGACTTTTAATTGCAGATAAGGGTTCATGAAATATATCAACATTACCAAAATATTTATTATATGTGTCAAAAATTTTGGTCACTGGTGCATTGTAACTGTAGTTAGTGGAACGGATCTCAAGATGGAAGAAATTTGAATTTCTATAGGAATAATGAGGAATTCTTATAGACATCTGCTGAAGTACATAGGAACTATCTATTCTATTATTTAATACTTTGTGAAGGAATACCACATAAGCCAGTTTTCTGCGATTTTCAAGGGAATCTATTTTGAAAAAAGTTAAATTATTTTGGTAGGTATTCCCAAACCGTTCTCTGTTGAATTTATATATCAAAAAATTCATGAACTTCTTCTGAACTCTTTCAATCCTCAGAATGTACTTTAGGTAATATGGGTTCCAAATCACTGTCAAATATTCGAGATGACTCCGAACCAGTGAAAAGTATAGAATTTTCATAGTATTAATATTAGTAAAGTTTCTTGTTGTACGGATTAAGAATCCTAGGTTTCTATAAGCTTTCTGGACAATATGCTCAATGTGATATTCAAAAGTTAATTTAACATCCAGATAAATACCTAAGTCTTTCACCCTCTGTACAATTTGCAAGGGAGCGTCGCTTATTTTATATATATATCTTAAAATGACGTTTTTTCTTGAGAAATGTATCGCGCAACATTTATTTACATTTAAGTCTAATCTATTCACGAAACAG